TCATTCTATTACTAGGATATCTAATTTGTACTTAGGATCAAGAAACTTTCACCAAGTTCACCAGCTTTATCTCTTTGGGTCCTGTCTCCTCTTCTTAGCCCTCTTTTCCATTTTGTTTGATGATTTTTGCTGACGAATTGGATGGTGCAGAAAGGGCAAAATATTAAATAGCTAATTAATGAAAATCAGCTGAATAGTGTGAATGGAAATCCTGACTGCAGGATCTTTTAGGATGTTGGAATGATTTTTTGCACTTGTTAAGTCAATCATGAGGTGCTTACTTAGAGAATTACAAACATCTAAACTTGCCTATGGACTTTCCATGAATATCTGAGGTTAAAGTGCAGATTATGGCAGTCAACAACCTGTCTTTTGCCCAAATGGAATTGTACTACTGAGCCTAATCTCGACAGCAGCAAACGTATAGTTCTGTGTAAATTTTTGCCACTATGCCAGTAAGTTTTTGTAAACAATGTCAGTTTGCTCACACTTGGGCTGAAGTCTTTATTCTTTCAACTTGAATGGATAATGTAATCCTCACATGAAGAGGTGGATCTGTGAGAGGAGCCAGGCATCTGTGTTGTCTTTAAACAATTTTACCTGGAGTTTTAGAAATATTTAGAAGCAGGTGAGTATTTTAAAACCCAAACAAGGGTCGTGTTCAGTGATGTATTCTAATTAAATGCATATTTGTTTCAGAAATTCACAGCCTTGCAGATGGAATGCATTCTGGTACCCTCATCAAAGGGCCTCTCTGTCCATCTGGAAGCTGTTCAGTTAACTGTGTTCATTCAGAATTGCATTGAAATCTACACACACACACACACACAAACACACAAACACATACACACACATATATTTGGATGCCAGCTGCAGAAATAGCCCAGTTGTATATATTACTTAACAGGGAAAGGAGCAGAAACAGCTTTTGGCATTGTCAGACACACACACACACACACACACACACACACACACACCCCAAAAATGGACAAGTTAGCACAGGCAGTTTTGCTCCTTGCTTTCAGAAAGGTGCATTAGATGGGGGGGGAGCCATATACCTCAGAGCTCCTGGGATACTGGGCATGCCAAGACTAATTCTCACATATAATCAGATGCTCCCTTACTCCAGATAATCGTCCTGAATGTCTCATGGCATGCATTCGCATGGAAGAATCCGATGTGCAAAACCCCAGTAAAGCATCACTCGCTACACAGATGCTTTTGCTGCTGCTATTTTCACAATCACAGCTGCCCTTTTTGAAGCCACACGGCTCACAGAAATCCCAGTGTGGTACTGACAAGTAGGATTCTTTCACAACTGTTTTTCACATACTGTTTCTCGGCGTAATTTTGTGGGTGATAAGGAGGTAAATAAAAAGCATCCAGTTCTCAGGTATAAATCCCAGCTCAGCTCAAGTGAGATACCGCTTATGCCGTGTTGCATTGATTTAGTTTTATTTAAGTCCTGCGTTTAGGAAATAGCGATGGTGTTCTTTACAAATGAAATAGGCAATGTAATCACTGCAAATTTGTATACAATCTGGAATGTTTCTTAAGGGCTCCACATCTTCTTTGCAGCCTATTTGGAATATTGTAAAGCCTAGTATTTCTTTTGTCAGGAGCTCTGATTCCCATTATAACAAATAATAGGGACGTCATTCATCTAACATTGCAAAGGCCATATAATAAATTGGTGTTCTTTCATTTACTAACCTATCCTTTGATTGGTTTAAAGGCATGCTTAATGCATGTGCTGTTTTGTATTTTTTTTCCCTGTGAATAATTTCATTTTCTTTAATTAACATTTATTTCTCAATGCATCCCAAGCATATGTCAAACACTGCAGATGCCTTCAGATTGATGGGATATGAACAATAGTTTATTGTCCATAATTGGTTTGTGAGGTAGCCTCTAGATTGCAGATGCTACATTGAACAGAATGAACATGCATGGACCAAAACTGGCTTTGGTTGCACTGGTGACATACTGGCCAAAATGAGCCCAATCTCATCAACATAGTCCTTACCAATAGTAGAAAATGCTGCATCTAGCAGAGGTATGACTAAGGCTAGTATTTTAGGATAGCCCTTTACATCTTCCTAAAAAGCATTAAACAAAAGTCTTGGTTGACTAAGACTTGTGATAGGTGGCAGAGGTGAATATATGTGGGGCCCATCTCATGATGGCCATGGGGTGAAGATCATTTGGGGTGATCATCTGGTGATGACCATGGAATGCAGAAGATTCTAATTTGTCATGCAGTGAAGGTTGTCTGAACATGTGATTTAGTTGATAAATACATACAGGGAAGTGAAGATATTATTTTGATTATGAACAACAAATTTTGCAGAAAGTATGAACTGGTGTTATCTAAGTTGTTGTGGATATCCATTGATAGATGCAAGTAGCACTTTGGTGAATGGAAGAACCACATATGAATTTTAGGGGGGAATTGTAAACTTTCTGAATGAATGGGATTCAGAAATTATTCTCATGCATAACCTGGTTGAATGGGTGGGAACAAAACAAGAAAATGCAAAAAAAAGTGATCCAGCCATTTATAGTCACTAGTGCAGTGGTTCTCAACCTGTGCCTTGTTTGGCAACCATTTCACGGGGGTTGCCAAACAAGGCTGTCCGCCATTTTTTCCCCTTTTCTTTGGCCACGCCCCTGGCACCCGGTGATGTATAAGTGGTTGGGGGTCACCACAACATGGGGAACTGTATTATGGGGTCGCGGCATTAGAAAGGTTGAGAACCACTGCACTAGAGAATAGTGACAGATACATACTGTATCTGCTTAGAAAAAGATCAGTTTGTTTTGAACATGTGAATTAAGCATAAATCTCTTCAGGTGAGAGTATGAATATGTATCTAAAAGCACAATTAAACTGATGGAAGATTGAATTAAGGAAGGAAAAGGGATGTTGACAGATTCTGACAGTCCATGTTTTGGTAAAGTTAAGAGCTTGAGAGAAAAATGGATATAGAAGACAATGGTGAGCAACTGGAGGAAAAGAAAGGATGAATCTTGAGTGGGCATATTATTAGTAAGTAGATTAATCTCCCAACAGAATACATTTAACAGACTCTAAGGTGAAATGGGAGCTGCTTGGAACAGAGTTTTTAAAAAAGTATGTGTCCCAGAGAAAGTTCAGTTATATGAACTGGAAATTAGAAAAATGACATGTGTTGGGAAAAATAAAGGGTAGCAGAATTGTAAAAAATGCATTAAAGAGAATGCTTGCTTCAAAAATTAGAATTAGAAAAAGATATGTTTAGAGAGAAAAAGATAGGTGCAAGGAATATCATCAAAAGTTAAGAAACAAGCATGAAAATACAGACCAATTTTGATGTACAGTATGTCAAGAGAAACATAATAGTAAGATGAGTGTGGTGAGAATAGATGCTTCAGATTTGTATCTGGAACAGAGACAGGGTAAAATGAATGGATGTGGGTTGATCATAAAAGTAAGTGAATGGTATGAAAGAATTACACTTGGGCAGTTTGATCGTATCTAGAAAATTAATGAGGATTGAATTATGGAATAAATATGTGAAAGTACGTGAATAGGAAAAGAGAGGAACAGGAAGATTGGGGAAATGCTGGTTGGATAGAATGCAACCAATGGTGGATAAAAATAGTAGAAACAAGGATGGTTGGCAAGAATAAAAAGCATGGATGTCATGGAAGGTTGGGCAAAGAGGGTAAATGACAAAAAAGTGTATCATTATATCAACTTTTGTACTTGCATCAAATTTTCATATATAGGTACATGAGGGGTGGAGCTTGCATTATGACAGTGATGGCGAACCTTTTAGAGACCGAGTGCCCAAACTGCAACCCAAAACCCACTTATGAATCGTCGGGTGCTGGGTGGGTGTGGCCCATTGGGTGGGCATGATCCATTGGGTGGGTGTGGCCCATTGGGTGGCCGTGGCCCACTGGGTGGGCATGGCTGCAGTGGTAACAGCAGACTGGGTGGGATTAAAAAGTTCAATCAACCAATTCCAACTTTGCAAGATCTTTTTTTTCCCCATGAGAAGTTGAAATTGACTGATTGATTGAACCTCTTTTTTTTTGCACACGGCGGCAGAGGCCTAAAGCGAAAAGGTTTTATAAAACCCAACTGAAGGCCTAGGATTGGGACGATGGTGCGCGTGCCCACAGAGAGGGCTCTGAGTGCCACCTTTGGCACCTGTGCCATAGGTTTGCCACCACTGCATTATGTTGTCACAATGCACATTTCATCATCTCAATAAAATCTCAACACTGCAGGCACCCATGGTAGAAATACAGGTAGTCCTCAACTTACAACAATTTGCTTAGTGACCATTTGAAGTTACAATGGCACTGAAAAAAGTGACTTATGACCATATTTCACACTTATGACCATTGCAACTTCCCCATGGTCATGTGATTTACATTCAGATGCTTGACGACTGACTTACATTTATGACAGTTGCAGTGTCCTGGGGTCATGTGATCACTTTTTGCAACCTTCTGACAAGCAAAGTCAGAATCTGGGAAACCAGATTCACTTAACAACCGTCTTACTAATTTTACAACTCCAGTGACTCACTTAACAAATGTGACAAGAAAAGTCATAAATTGTGGGCAAAACTCATTTAACCAATGTTTCACTAAGCAACATAAATTTTGGGCTCAATTGTGATTCTAACTCAAGGATTACCTGTATCTGGAGTGGTATAGTTAATGGTGTTGGTGTAAATTAGATACAATTGTATTTCCTTTTCCTCTCTTAATGCCTTTATCCCTTCAATTCATAAATTCTTACTCCATTTCTGAACTTTGCACAAGGCAGCTTACTTCAAAAGGGAATCACATGTTGGATATATATGTGTATATGTGCCTACCATATAAATTAAACTTGTCATTTGTTATTTTCTAACAATGCTGCAAGTACCATAATTTGTTTCCTATATTATTTTATAGTGTAAAAGTAACAAATTTTAATGTCTGCTGTGTTTCTATTTTAGGTGAAAGCAGCTTCCAAATACGTGGATGTGCCTGTAAGCTTTATTTAAATATAGCACTCTTTTTTTTTTCTCCCACCCTCTTTGTAATAGAAGTGATGCCTCTTTACAATGATTACAGTGATTGGCTGTTCTCTTAATCAGTGATCATAATGGGGCATTTTAATCAAACGTTTATGAGAGCTTATCCTTTCTGGATCTTTCTCAGTGATCTTTGTAAAGTCTGGTTATCTGTCAAATAAAGCATATGTTAAAAATAAGTGTTATGCGGTGAAAATATGGAACAAAGATTATGAAAATTTGCAATGTCTTTCATTATAGCTATATAGACACAGTCACTTTGTAAATTATCTGTCCCAGATCACAAAACATGATCACTCCTCTTTGAGATGTGGAATAACTTATAAGGACCAGTACAAATTGGCTGTAACCTGGCCTTTTTGCTGAACAGAGACCTCAGGAAGGAGATCAGAATAAGCAGAGTTTATAATGCAGTGTCAGAGACTCTAGGAAGTTCCTGCTGAATCATATTGTCATTCTCAACATCTTGAAGTAGTGAAGATTTCCAAGGTTGACATGGAGGCAGGCTAATTATGGGATCAGCATAGGCCATAGAGGAAAAGGCATGTGAGGTCAAAGAAGGAAAGAGGAAGGTAATTCTTCATTTTGGATGGAAAGAACATTCCTGTGTAAAAATCTAGGCAGAGGGTAAGAATGCAGATGTGGGAATCCTCAAGTTCCTAACAAGGAACAGCAACTCAATTAGTCTTTCAAAACCAGAGAAACTGGCACTAGATCGATTCTCATTGTTATTACTGGGTACAAATCTGATGGGCCTCTTTCTTTGCCTTGGGTTTTGTGCCCTTTCTCCAAGGAGTGACCAAGTAATTGGAGAGGCCCTGAAATACAGTAAAGCCTGACATAACATTGTTTGGATTGAATAAAAGCTCTGCATCAGAATTCAGAATGAGCAGGTGCTCAGATGTTTAAAGTAGACAAACAAAGCTAGAATGAGTGGGCTGAAATGGAATTATGTTTGTTTTACATTCCACAGCAAACAGTTCCAACAGCTTGTTTTACTGTTGCACAATGAAATAATTATCACGGTTACTATTATTATTAATATATTATACCACTATATTATTACTATATTAGTATTATTTATTTATCAATCACATTGCTATCCCATCATTTTCAAAAAACAACTCTTAGCTATAAGTTTCCATACAAGGGAGGAGGAGGAGGAGGAAGAAGAGGAGGAGGAAGAGGAGGAAGAGGAGGAGGAGGAGGAGGAAAAGAAGGAAGAGGAAGAGGAGGAATTTCTGAACTGTTGCAAAGTCTTGGTACAGATCAAAAGGAAAGCATTAATTAATGAACAACTTAATCACCAATCCAATAAATTAAATATTTACAACTAAGACAAGCACAACATCCATACATACTGAAAGGAACACTCTACAATACAGCAGACTCTATATTCAATCCAAAGCCAATATATCCTAAAAGCTACCTACCTTAGTAAGAGTAGAATAAAATAACTTTTTCAAAGGCCATCCAACTTTCCCAGAGGTAAAGTAGAAGAGGGAGCTGATTTCAGAGTTGCTGGGCCATCTCCAAAGACTTGGGGAATGAGGAAAGAAAGACAATGGTGCCTAGAGAAATGTGAGGAACAAGCATATTGTAGGGAGTGAATAAGGGGGGACTGTAACGGTATGTAAGAAAGACCTTGGGAGCCTGGGCAAAGAGACACTGCCAAGGGAACAGACAAATAAGAGATAGCATAGCCCACAGATGGATAGTAGATAGGGCAAGAAGCTCAGAAAAGACCTTTCCTAGTTTCTCAGACTGTAAAGCAGATGTGTATGGAGGAGTGTACTTTCATGCTTACAAGAGTGATGTCAACCACACAGGGTAAACCAGATAGGAATCACAACCACATGAGCTAATTCTACTTTCTTGAAAAGCTACATTGATAGAATCATGCAAGTATGAATTTCTCTCTGTCTCCTTTACAGCCCAGTCTTGAACATGTTAACTGTCATTTTAATATTTATTTTCCTAAAAGTTGGCCAGCCTTTTAACTTTAAGGCAAAAATAATTTTTGAGGGGAATATGGCAAATGGTAGATAAGCGGTATATACACTATATAGTATATATATATATTAAAGACCATGTTGAAGACTTTTCTACAGAAAAAAACTTTATTATTCCTTTTTTTTAAAAAAAAGGTGCTGCAGCCCTTTATTTAGAGCTTGGATTAGAATGAAAAGAGTCCTCGAAGATCTCAAGCAAAGCACTTTACATATCTGAAATTAACATTTAAATTAAGTTAAAGTGCAAGTTAAATTAAGTTTAAGTTGGAGTCGGGGATTATAATGGTTAAAGCAGGAGACAATTGCAGGCATTTGATTTTGAGGATTTACAGATAAGAGCCCCTGCTCTAAATTTTCATTTCCAAATTGTGTGTATATATATTTATCTGTGTTTATTAAGATAAATTATATAGACAGTGGCTGAGTGTAAAAGTTCCTTCAATATATCTTTACGGAAAAAAGACAGGAAAAAAGTTACACATATTTTATATGCCTTTATTTTATATTTTCACTTGTCCTAAATGTTGATTTTTATTGTATAATATTACATATTTGTTCATCTAAAATATGTCCTGCAGACTCATAAAGCCCAGTGAGATATTCTTGATATTATCCTATTTTAGCTTCACAACCACTCTTTAAAGTAATGTGAGATGGAAGCCCCTCCACTGAACATTACAAAGAAGCAAAGTTTGGCAGCCATTTTCCTCTAATTCAATCTCATTTTTTTCCCCTGGTGCAATACAATAGTACTGGGTGGGATACATCTTGCAGGGGGGGAAAAACATCTTAACTTATCAATTAACTAATATTAATAATTGCTTTGCATACAAGGAAGGAAGGTAGAATGAAAAATACCAGAACACCATGGCTTAGGCATGTTAAAATCACATTTCCAATATTGCCATTTTTCTAGATCAGCAGATTTTTTAAAATGACAATAAAGACTTCTCTTCCTGTAATATCAAAAATCCTCCCCTTTATGTATGCATAGATGCAGAAATCTTTTCCCTAAAGAGGAAAACAAGAAGAAAGTAGTAGAGAATCACCGCTAGATTTATTTTATTTTATTTTTAATACCATCCATCTCCCTTACAAGATGAGTCTAGACAGTTTATCATTACTCCTTGGATTTACAGCAATCTTTAGGTTAGCTATACCATTCCATCTGCCCTGACATTTTACCTTTTGAATTGCCAATATTATTAAAGAGAAACTCTCCCCCACCCTACCAACATACATACCAACACACACAAACAAAACTCTTTGCAGAAAGAAGCACGCTGCAGCCAAAATTGGGCCGTTACAATTTAGTCAAAAGCTTTGCTCTCTTATACCAACCAACCAACTATCCTCCTGTCTAATTCTGGAAAGTTGGTTGTTTGGAATTAAATAGTTGTAGCACTAATCCATTTTATTGCATTACAACCTTACAACAAGCAGTTCACTTGCTGAAAATTGCCTTGAAACAAATATCACCATCATATTGTACTGTATATTGTTCTCATTGTTGTTGCTGTTTTTTAAATTAATACCTTGTCATGTTTCAATAGGTGTTAAAAATGTTACTGACATTTTAGAGCCAATCATTGCCCTTTGCTTGATAATTGTATTTCTGTTATATACACAAACATGTACACACACACACACACACACACACACACAGAGAGAGAGAGAGAGAGAGAGAGAGAGAGAGAGAGAGAGAGAGAGAGAGAGAGAGAGAGAGAGAGAGAGATGCAAAAATGTGCATACGCACACGCACACCAAGATATGCACACACCTTCTTCTGCTTCTCAAACTTCCTAATTTTCACCCAGGAAATGGGTGTTAACTAACTTCAATTTACAGTGGATGACAATCACATTTCATAGAGAAATGATACTTTGTGATCTGCAGTAAAACACAGTAATAAAAGTAATGACACCCGTTATTAAGAAACTTCCCATGCACCACCAGCATTTAAGGTTTGTGTGGCTGCATTTATAATGACTCTTATTTTAGCATTTTAATGGGTTTCCTTTGAGATGAGTTTGATTCCATTATATCAAAGCGTGTAACTTACTTAGTGATTGGTTTTTTTCCCCCCCCAAATTATTTCCCTTATTAGCTTTTGGTGAGCGTAATACAAACTGTCATAATCGTCACATATCTTGCAAACTGTAAATTCAGATTTAAGGGACTTTGGTGTGTGGCAGCGCCACAGGGATGGCAGGAGATGAATGGAGCAGTTTTATATTTGCTTACTCAAAAGGCAATCTTGCTGTTTTCAATCGGACTTATTCCCACATGGAAGGTTGCAAATGCACTAGAAATACATTTATGGTACAATCTGACCCAAATTAGCTAGAATTAAAGGTTTGTTACCTTCATTGGGCTAATGTAAAGTATCACATTTCCATCAGCAACAATACATTGGCAACCTATATCTATCACTTGAATGTTTTTGCTGATTTTAACAGGTGGGAAATAGATTTGGGGGGGAAATAAAATATAGCGATAACTCCAAACAATATTTTATTTTTAAATATATATGTTTGATTGGATACTCAAAACTGAATATAAATATTATCAAAAACCTTGTTGGAGGTTAAATAGGTCAGATAAGTAGAAATAGTTGGGTTTTTTTGTATATAATATTGATGTTTTAACCTGGAGAGAGGAATTGCTCTGGCATTTCCCCTGGACCGCATCCGGAGTGAGAAGATAGGAGGAAGGGGAGAAGTAAGTAGGAAGGTTGAGGAGAAGGAGGAGAGGGGGAGAGTGAGAAAGAAGAGGGAAAGAGGGAAGTGAGAGAAGAGGCTAGAGGGTGGATGCGGTTTGGGGGGAAATGGGTGAGCAATACCGAAAGTTGTCTGTATAAATTTACTTTATTCTTTATCTGAAGTATTCTTTATGAATGTAATGAAAAATTGAAAATAAAAAATCTTTTACAAAAAAAACCAAAACCTTTGGCACATTAAATGTCTATGGAGATTCTCAAAACGTCTTCAAAGAGAAACAAGACAGTCCAGTTGCCTCTTGAAAAGGCACCTTTGGGACTTTGGCACATTAGATTTGAATAGGCCTGAAGGTTCCCTTTTTAATGTTAGAGTAGAGAGGATTTTTCTTGGAGAAGATGATTCTAAAGAGGTGACAATGAAGCCACATGGGTTGTTGTTGTGCTAATTAGGTCAGGAAGAGAAGGAAGGCGTGAGAGAGACAGAAAAAAAGATTTGAACTATGCAAGCCAATACTTAGGTGCTTTAGCTACCTGCTACACACAGCAGAAAGATTTTATTGATTCCCAAATAAGTCTTAATGTGTCAACTAGAATAGGTCCCTCAGCCATAATGTGAAGGGAATTAGAAAAAGGAGAATACAGCGAAGGATGCTTACCACTGAATAAGCCGACTGTCTTGTTCATGCTTCTTCCTTCCCTTTTTCCTTTTTAATTTCCTTTCCATCTCACTCTTTTTCTCCATACAGAAACCAGGGATGGATGTTGCTGACGCCTACGTGACCTTCGTTCGCCATTCTCAGGACATTCTGCGTGATAAGGTCAATGAGGAGATGTATATAGAAAGGTTATTTGATGTAAGTAAATGCCCCCTCCATCTTGGAGATAACAAGAGGGAGACCGGCAAAATGTGACAAAATGAGACAGGAGGATAAGTCACATTTTGAGAGAAATGATGAATGATAATAGTCTCTTTTTTTCTTTTTTGTTGTTTTCTCTTTAATTTTGAAGGAAATTTCTGTTTTTTTTTCTTTTTTTCTTGTTTGAGTGATACTCAACCTATCTGCTACTTGTCTGCTCTAATGCCTTTCTCCAAGCTTCTCTGACTTACTTTCCCTCTGTTTAGATTTTAACATAAGAGCGCATTAAATCAATTTTTATCACTCTGACATAAGAATGTATCCATCATTTTTCTTAGCCTTAAAGTCTTGTTTCCCAACTGGGAGAGAAAGCGAACACTCAGAAAAAGTGCATTTGTGATCTGATTGCAAGTAAAACTTTTTTCTGAAGGACCAGCAGCTTTACCCATGATTCGACCCATTTTTTTCAAAAATTAAAAATGAACATACATCAGTAGTAGTAGTAGTAGTAATAGTAGTAATAGTAGTAGTAGTAGTAGTAGTAGTAGTAGTAGTAGTAGTAGTAGTAGTAGTAATATTCTTATTAATAGATACAATTGTGATTTTGAATATAGTTGTATGGCTTTCGATTAAAAATTAGTTTGAAAATATTGGAATGTTTCTGTATCCATTTTCCAATCTGAATATGTAAGGTTAATTTTGAGGTTGGATGCGATTCCAGCTGTGAAAGAGGACTGTAGCACCCAGTTATTTTAAAGGGTTATCTAAGATTTTATTTGAATGTCATGCATTTTTTAGTTTCTTTGTCTTTCTGATGCTTTTTTTCTCTAGAATACTTTTTTTTTTTTTTTTGTCCTGGCAGTAATTGTATAGCCTAGCATTTCAACTTACGGCAGGTGGTTAAATATTCTTGCTCCCGTCACTTGTTAGGAATGCATGTTTCTTTGTGTATGTGTTTGTGCAAATTGTACAACAGCTGCCTTTGTCTTTGCTCTCCTACCTCTCCATGCTCTAAGTTCTCTACCCTCCTCTGTGTTCTGGTATCCCAATTTGAACACCTTCAGATTCTCTGCAGGTTTGTTTTACCTCTTTTCTTGCTTACATTGGATTGAAAAGCTGTGTGTCTGCCATGTCCCAAAATTTTCCAAATTCCTCTTATGATTGAGTCTCATCTTTATTCCCATTTTCCTTCCCACTGAAGCCTCTTCCAACTGCGCAATTCTCTTTCTTCAGTCCTCCTTTCCCCATGAGATTAAAATGGAACTTATCTCCCATGTCAAATGTTTTATCACATTATATCAAGTGGCATGAGTTGGAGTCAAATAATCTTCCTGTGTATATCTACTAGCATGACCCATATCCACCGAGAATGCCTCATTCATGCATAAAGCCCTCCAGAGATTCCTTTCCTCTTAAGAGAATTTAAATGTGAGACGCAAATCACCTTTCCACTTGAGGCAGCCCTTTTCTCTTGGTTATACATTTGTTAGCACTCTCTCCATCACTGTAAAAATTCTCCAGTTAGCAATATATCTCCAGGGATTGTTCTTTTCAGGGGTAGCCTTTGCACTGAACATTTTCCAGTGTGTATCTCAGCCAATTGCCCTGAACCCCTCAAATGGAATAAGTATCACAATCATATCACTATCAAGAATGGAACGGAACAGAACAGAACAGAACAGAACAGAATAGAATAGAATAGAATAGAATAGTTGGAAGGGGCATAATAACATAATAATAGAGTTGGAAGGGACGTTGGAGGGCTTCTAGTGCAAGCTCCTGCTCGAGCAAGAAAACCTATACCAGTGATGGTGAACCTTTTAGAGACCAAGTGCCCAAACTGCAACCCAAAACCCACTTATGCATCGTCGGGTGCCGGGTGGGTGTGGCCCATTGGCTGGGTGGGGCCCATTGGGTGGGCATGGCCTATTGGGTGGGCATGGCTGTGGTGGTAATGGCAAACTGGGTGGGACTAAAGAGTTCAATCAATCAATTCCAACTTTGCAAGATCCTTTTTTCCCCGTGAGAAGTTGAAATTGACTGATTGATTGAACCTTTTTTTTTTTTTTTGCACATGGCGGTGGAGGCCTAAAGCAAAAAGGTTTTATAAAACCCAGCTGAAAGCCTAGGACTGGGGCAACGGTATGCGTGCCCACAGAGAGGGCTCTGAGTGCCGCCTCTGGCACCTGTGCCATAGGTTTGCCACCACTGCCCTATACCATTTCAGACAAATGGCTATCCAATCTCTTCTTAAAAATATTAATAAATTTATTAATAAATGAGTTTTAACACCCTCTTGGCAGAACAGGAACTGTATAACAAAAAGCAGTTTGAAGCACATCTATAAACCATACAGACCCCATAGGAGGTCTGTATACACTGGACAACACCTGGGCTCGAGCCACAACTTTGGAGGAACATTTCCAAAAAGTGGTAAGGCATAGAAAAGGGAACCTGTGGCTCTTGAAATGTTTTTAGAGGTGTCTGCAGGGAGGGAGTCAAATAAAGTCAAAATGGAAGCCTCAACCATGCAATCAGAGCCCCAATCTTTTTTTTTTCATACATTGTAAAAAAAAAAAGGAAGGAAGGAGTTTTGATCACATGGTTGGGATGACCATCTTGATGTTTTTGTTCCCATCCTGTGGACATCTCTGAATGTGGTTGAATGAAAACTCCCAAGTGTCCCATTATGGCAATGGTGAGGATCACTGAGAGCTTTGTTTGAAGCTCTATTGTAAGGGATTGATTGTACTAAGAACCATGCCTATAATATTCTTGATGTTCCCTTTTGGGAATAAACACCTCGGCCATTCAGGTCCTTGTTTTTGTAAAACCCCAAAACATCCATTATTTCAGGGGTGTCAAACTCAATTTCATTGAGGGCCGCATCAGCATTGTGGTTTCCCTCGGGGGCCGAGTGGGTGTGGCCAGGGTGGATGCAGCCTACTGGGTGGATGTGGATGGAGTGGATGTGGCCTATTGGGTGGGCATGGCCAGCTCTACATCATTTGCGTCAAGGGTGCCTGTGGGGGCCTGGGCAGGAGTGGGATAGATCTGAGGGTCTCTGCAGAAGGGGGTGGGACCAGGGCAAGTGCCAAGGCATGGTCCACTGGAGGACCCTCACTGTTCTTCTCAGGCCATGTTGGGGGGACTGGATGGTGGTGCAGGCTGCCCGGAGCCTGGGCAACATAGGTCAAATGCCCAGCCTGGCCCTCGAGCACCTGTGGCACTAAGCCCAGCCCCACTTCCCCAAGGGGGTACCCAGCTGCACTTACCTCATCCTCAAGGCTGCTGCTGCTGTGCTTGCTCTCCTTAGCCAGGTTGCTCATGATGGGTACAAGGGCAAAGTCAGAGGGAGGCCCATTCCCTCTCCATGGGAGGATACTCGGCTTTGTATCCAAAGCTTCCTTAGCAATAGGATGGGAGACCCCCAGGATAGGCCAGGAGGAGGGGGCAAGGGGATGGTGAAAGGGCAGCAGGGTAGAACTAAGGCAGGACTTCCCTCAGATCCTCCCTCTCCTTCTTTCCTTCTTTCCTTCCTTCCTTCCTTCCTAAGTACAGAGTGGTGGGGAAATATTTGAGATGAGGGAGGGAGAAAAACAGGCAAGAAATGCAGCTGGGGAGGTGTCACCCTTCATGAGGAATGAATAAATACACCTGGAAGTGGCCAGCAAATGGCCCTCACCTACTTCACATATCTGGCTTGGTGGGCTCTGAGAGAGGGATGCTATGAGCAGCATGAGAGTCAACGTTACCTGTGCAATGCTGCCCACCCTCCAGCCTGCCCGGTCTCAGCAGGCAGCGGGGCACTTTCTTCACAGCACCAAGAGGTTGCGCCAGGTGGTGCAAAGCTTGCCAGCTTTACACCTTGCTGCCTGCTGAAACTGGGCAGGCTAGGGGCTAGGCAGCATTGCACTTCTCATCAGATTCGTGCCACCTGGCTCAGTTCTTGGCATTATGAGGAGAGCTCCCGCTGCCTGCCAAAACCAGGCAGGCTGGGAGCTGGGTGGCCTTGCGCTTCTTTCTGGATTCGTGCTCCCCGGTTCAGCCTCTCAGTGCTGTGAGAAGAGTGCCCCGCTGCCTGCCGAAACCCCTCCCCCAGAGCCCACCAAGCCAGATATGTGAAGTAGGTGATTCCTGGCCATTTCCAGGCGATGGTGCATTTCTTCATTCCTCACAAAGGGTGACACTTCCCCAGCATGCACCCAGGGGGCTGGGTCGATGTGGCAGGGGCTGGTTCCTTGCTGTTTCCAAACGGCCTTTTGGAGCTAAGACTGAATGTGTTTCAGCATAGATGGCCACCACAAAATTGTACATTGGCTCCCAGCCAGCCTGGGCCAGGGCCAAGGCAGTGGGGGCCGTTCCCTCACTGTTTCCAGGATGGCTTCGCAGGCCACATGAAACCACTTCACGGGCCGCATCTGGCCCCCGGGTCTTGTGTTTGACATGTCTGCATTATATACACAAGCCTTCATTAGAGAGAAACCATTTTCCTGCAAAAACGATGAGGTCTTTTTTGCCCAAAGCCCTTAGTTTTTAACCCACATACACCACATGGTGATGTCTGTTCCACAGAAATATAGTAAATACAATAAATCCCAGTGGTCTCATCATTTCCCAGTCACCATCTTTTTGAGAAAGCACAATTAATCATCAAATTCTTTATATAGTGGTAAATTGGTTTCATACAGATTTGGGCTGTTACTATTTAAGATGACATAAGCATTTTCATCTTCAGCTTTCACAATACAAGAATTTATCCTTCTCTTGATATCCTAAAACAGACTGTCCAGATATTTGGCTCACAAGTTTCACCAATGAGCCGTGGTGGCCCAGTGGTTAGAAGGCAGTATTGCAGGCTAATTCTGCCGACTGCCAGGAGTTCAATGCTGACCGGCTCAAGGTTGATTCAGTCTTCCATTCTTCAGTAACATGGGGACCCAGATTGATGGGGAAAATATGCTGACTCTGTAAATCGCTTAGAGAGGGCTGTAAAG